CCCTCTCGCTATCCAGGACCTCTTGGTGGATGTCCGACTCTGGTTTAGGCCCGATCCCAACCAGCAGTCGGACATCCCTCTCACAATCTGGGACCTCTGGCTCCTCACTGCTCACCTGCCTGTCTGCCTGATCGCCCCTAACTAGTATGCCTGCCTGATTGTCCCTAACCACTCTGCATGCCTGTCTGATCGCCCCTAACTGCTCACCTGCCTGCCTGAACGCCCCTAACCACCTCTGCCTTGGACCCCACCCTGGTGGCTTCATCCAGAAGGACGTCCTGAATGATGTCTGGAATGTCGTTCGGCTGTCCGTTCTAATTAGCATATTACGTTTTTATTATTATAGATGACATATTCGCAAATAAAGCCCAGTAACACATCAAAAGAATAACATGCCTTTCTGTTGTCATTACAGTTGCTTTATAGTAAGGTTTGCTCTCAGGAATTGTCAGCCATCTGACCTTGTTCTTCTTTCTAAAGATTGCTCTTGCTGTTCTAATTTCTTTGCATTTTTGTGCAATATTTAGAATCAATTTTTAAAATTCCTACCAAAAAATTACTTGTTGAGATTTTGATTAAGATTGCTTTGAGTCTATACATTGATTTGAGGACATCCTAACAAAGTTGAGTTTTCAATCCATGAACATGGTACACTGGTCTGTTTATTTAGGCTTTCTTTAATTTCTCTCAGGAATGTAGTTTTATATTTTTGTAATTTTTACAGAAGAGAGTATAGAAGACGTACATATCTTACTAATTTTTAAGTATTTCATTGAAGAGTGCAGAGTACTTGATTCTAAGAATTTTGTGTTGTTACTGTAAATGGAATTTTTTAAAATAATTTTATTTGTTTGCTGCTATAATAATATGATGTAAGTCCTGCAGCCTTCCTAAATTTACTTATCCATTCAAGTAGGTTTTGTTTCTTTGGTAGGTTCTTTAGAATTTCTGTATTAAAAAATCACATTGATTAGAAATAAAGATAATTTTACTTCTTCCTTCCCATTCTTTCTGCCTTTTATTTGTTTTTCTTACATTATTGCACTCACTAGGACTTCTGGTGCAATGTTGAATGAAATGGTAAGATGTTACAATGTTGATAGTCTTGTCCTATTGTTGATCTTCGAAGAGAAGCATTCTGCCTCAGAACTTTTACTAAAAGAGAGGAACCTATTCTAAGTGTTAGAGAATTTTTATATTCAAACCCACATTTCTGTGGATTAGTTTATTGATCCAAAAGTTGTATTTACAGCAGCTGGACAAAATAATTTTTACACTGATATAAATACGTGACATTAGTCTATAGCTCTTGTATTTCACATTATTTTCCACATGAAAGTTCTTCAAATACTTGAAGACATCCATTACATGCCTCTGATTCTTATTTTTCCTGGGCTTAATTTAAAACGTGCTTAAAATAGTCTCATTTTTTCTTCAGATCTTTGCATGAACTTGTTAGCTAGAACTGTTAAGTCTTTTTCTAAACCTATGAATTGCTCTTAAGTCCAATCTTCCACATTTTCCTATGGTTAATTAGTTTGAACCTATACAGAGCTGTCATCTGGAAAGTGATAACAATGGAACAGAATGTACTTAGAAAAGTTAAATCATTCACCCATGTAAATACTGTGCCTCTGTCATTATCTGGGTCTTCAGTTTTTGCCTAAACCTTTATGCCAAGTTAGTCATGAAACCCTAATATGATGGGAGAGCTAAGGACTTCTTGGCTCCTTCTTCCTACAGTAGCCATTTAAGTAGCAAATTATTTATTGTCACTAGGTGCACGAAATTCATGCACAGACAGGGTTCCTAGGCCTGGCCAGCAATCAGGGCCTATCAGGGCTGTCTCACCCAGTCCCTATCGGGGCCTGGGGGCCTGCCGGCTGCTGGATGGGGCCTTCCGGACAGGGACTGCTGGACTTGGGGAGGGACTGCGGGAGGTTTGCCGGCTGGGGGAAGGGACCGGGGGAGGTTGGCTGACTGTGGGAGGTTGCCTGTGGGAGTGCACTGACCACCAGGGGGCAGCTCTTGTGTTGAGTTTCTGCCCCCTGGTGGTCAGTGTGCATCATAGCGACTGGTCGAACAGTTGTTCTGGTTTTTCCGGTCTTTGGGGCGGTCACTTAGGCTTTTATATATATAGATTCCCTTTTCCTTTGCATTCTTTCAAGCTATTGCTAACATGCAACTAGTTAGAACATTTTGAGAGCTACCTGTGTTCTGTGTACATTATTAACGCGATCAAATCATTCCATAAGATACATGTTAATTTGCACATTTTATTGAATAAGAAATCAAGTCATAGAATGTTTAAACCAGTTAGTCAAGGACCTCTAGCAAATTATTACTGTCTTCCTAACTCTCAGGTTTCTATTTATGTATCATCACTTTGTGCTCTTTTTTTCTATTTTATACTTAGTTCATTTAGCTTTGCAACATATTTGTTCTCATTCATCCTTTTCAATAAAGTTGTGAGCTGACTGAGGGCAGGGATCATATAGTATGAACTTTTGTGTCTTCTTTTGTACCAAGTAGAGAGCTTTGGATATATAGTAGGGCTCTCAACAAATGACTGTTGGAATGAAAATTGTAATACTATAAATAATGTCTCTCAGAGCCTGGTATGCCAGATGGCTAGCTACAATTCTGTTTAAGTTTATAGTGTTTTTTTTGGTAAGTCAGTACTGACTGAATAGAACAGTGGTCAGCAAACTGCGGCTCGCGAGCCACATGCAGCTCTTTGGCCCCTTGAGTGTGGCCACGAAGGTTCAATCGTACTGTATGTGCGTGCCTGCACGTGGTATTTTGTGGAAGAGCCACACTCAAGGGGCCGCAGTTTGCCGACCACTGGAATAGAACATTATCCAAGGCTTGGGTGTGTATATGTGTGTAAGCCTATGTATGTGCGTGCACACGTGCTCATAGGTAGGAATGGTTTACGAAACTTTAGAATACATATTTTAAGGAATTTTGATAAAATGAGCTGTATTCAGGCCTCCTTGTTACATTTAACTGTACAAATGATATTAAATAAAACAAACATAGAGGAAGGGAGGAAATAGAGGAAGGGAAAATTCGCCCTGAGGATAGTTTTAAATTACTGATTATAGAATGGTGACAAGTATTTTGAGAAAATTCATACTAAATATTATCAACTTTACCCAAATTGGTTTATACCTTTTGAACTCAGAACTAAGTAGCCATTTCTATCATAATGTTTTAAAAAAAAAGGCAGAGTTATTTGTTTTGTGCAGGCTTTTGGACAGTTTCAACAAACGAGGCTTTGACATTTCGGTCAGTGTTAAACTATGTCATGGCACTTTAATAGGAATTGGGATTTTTCTTGCCCCTGTTTCACTGTCCAAAAATTTGGAGACTTGGCAGAAAACCTTGGGAAAACTAAAATTCTACTTCTCCCAATATGTTATTACTCATCCTAATGTAAAATAAACAATCAAGAAGGGGAAGAATTTAAAGATAAGCTACAATAAATAATACTCATTTTAAAAAAATATAAGTTGCTATCTTTCTTGTTTAAGAATATAAACAACCAATACCTCATATATGGTGTCATTATTAAGTTTAAGTTATTTGAATCTTCATTTAAGAAGTAATGCGACTTTGTCATCTATTTGAAAATGGCTTGGCTGAAAGTTAAAACTGTTATACTTATATTAAAGTTTAAGAAAATACAATAATTGCCATGAACAGGTAGGATTGCAAGGATAGATTCATATTAGGCATTGTCATTATAATTCCACTAAGAGGTAAAGAAGAAAATATGAATAGCTCAGTAAATGAAAAGTTATAAAAGCAAGATTCAGCATCTACTCCTGGATGAAAAAAATACTCAGTGAAAAGTTAAGAAGTGTTTTTTTATTTTGTTCTTTAGATCCCACATATAAGTGAAATCATATGGTATTTGTCTTTCTCTGACTTATTTCACTTAACATAATACCCTCTAGGTCCATCATGTTGTGCAAATGGTAAGATTTCTTCCATTTTTTTATGGCCAAGTAACATTCCATGGTATGTGTGTGTGTGTGTGTGTGTGTGTGTGTGTGTGTGTGTATGTATCTATATATATATATAAAACCACTTAAAAATATATTTTATTGAATTTATTGGAGTTACATTGGTTAATTATATAGATTTCCAGTACCATTCTATAACACATAATCTATATATTGCATTGTGTGTTCCCCACCCACAGTTTAGTCTCCTTCCATCACTACTTACCCTCCCGCTCCCCCCCGTTTTACCCTCTTTTATTTGGAACAGATTCATAGACCCAGGGAACAGACTGATGGGTGCCTGAAAGGAGGGTGTTTGGAGACTGGGTGAAAAATGTGAAGGAATTAAACAGTACAAATTAGTAATTATAAAATAGGGGGATGTGAGGTATAGCATAGGGAATATAGTCAATAATATTGTAATAACTATTGCCTGGCCCATGTGGCCAAGTGCTTGAGTGTCGACCCATGAACTGAGAGGTCCCCAGTTGAATTTCTGGTCAGGGCACATGCCTGAGTTGTGGGCTGGATCCCCAGTGGGGGGCATGCCAAAGGCAGCTGATCCATGATTCCTCTCATCATTGATGCTTCTCTCTCCCCCTCTCTTCCTCTCTCTAAAATAAATAAAATATATTTTTAAAAATTACTGGCAAGGAAATTGTGATTGTCTGATTATATTGTCTATTTCAGGTAGACCTTAGGAATTTACCCATTTGGGAAATTCACTGTGCAATTTATGCCTTCCAAAAGAGTCACAAAATACCTTCTGAACTTCTCTTCCAAATATTTCAGGTGATTCCATTTACAGCATCTTTTCAAACACCTTTCTTATCAGTTTATATTTTTGAGTGAAATATATGATACCCTATTGAATGAATGAATTACTTCCTGACAAGACTAATCCCTGTTCGCTCATTTGCCTGTTCTAGATGATCCATATAACTACTTTATTTTCAGTCTTCTCAATATCCCTGTGCTCTCTGTTCCCAGGCCTGGTGCTGCATCCCATGTGAAAAGCAAGAAGTCAAATGAAGATTTTTCAGTGCAAGATGCAGTACTGGCTGTTTCCAGCTTTTTTGGCAATTGCTTCCTTTTGCACCTTTGTCCAGGGTCAAGGTAATGGAAAACTTTAAGATATTAGGGTCTGCGACTCTAGTCTTCTTGGTTCTGATACTGTTTGTTTGTTTGTTTGTTTGTTTATTTATTTATTTATTTATTTTACTTACCCTAATCGTGCTTCAACTGTGTTTGTAGGCAGGGTTATGTGCTGGTTTTTACTCAATATTACCAACGATTGACATTGTGAAAATGTGCCACAACTTTGATGAAGGTGACGACCTCACCAGCGATTGAATATAATAATCTGTGGCAATTGGTTAAGCAGCTTATTCTTAACTTGTTTCTTTTCAGTCTGTGCAAATTTAATGAATAACACAAATTCGCATGTTATAAAATCGATTGTTAATAAGGAGCTATAATGTGTGTATATTTCAATCATGCATTTGTTTCTTAGAGTTTCTGCAAAATATTCCAACCACTTCATACCTGGTCCTGAATTTTGCTCCTTTTTTAAAAACAAACAAAACCAAGGACATAGTCTGAAAGTTACTAAGGGTCTGATAGAGGCTGCTGATATGCCATTGTAAACAATTCTAACGTTGTTTTAATTGAACTTAGTTTTTGAAATCTAGTATTTGTTTTATTGGCATCTGCACTTTTATTTTTTTATTTCCATTTATTTTCTAAAGTATGTCAGGAGTTGTTTTGGCCCACTGCTTGCTTTTGTAAATAAGGTGTGTGTTGTTGTTTTTTTTTTTGGAAATCAGCATTTGTTTATATATGCTCGTGGCTGCTTTCACACTGCAATGACAAAACTGAATGGTCATGACCCACATTGTAAAGCCCACAGAACCTAAAATATTTATTGTCTTGCCCTTTACAGAAAAAGTATGCTAAACTCCAAAGTAAGTGCATAATATGTATAAGTACTCAAAGTGACATTATTAAATAAACATGTGGAAATAGTCATTCATCAGCTGAGCAATGAAGTCTAACTGTGCTAAAGTTGTTTTAGGGGTGTTAATGTCTTATGCTTGGAATTTAAGGTTGTAAAAGAAGTCAAATGCAAGAACCACACCCTGGTTCCTTAAAGTGAGGCACACTTGTTTGGAAAAGAACGAACTCGACTCTTTGCATGCTCAAGCAGTGTTAAATCACCGGAGTTACTGACCATATTTCCCATACTTCATGCAACACATAAGGGTGCATTGGGTAGAAAAATTCTTATTTATGGTGAAAGAATGTTTTCAGCTGTGGAGATCAGTGATAATAGAAATCTTAGATAACTCACACTCTAAACCAGCGGTTCTCAACCTGTGGGTCGCGACCCCTTTGGCGGTCGAACGACCCTTTCACAGGGGTCGCCAAAAACCATCCTGCATATCAGATATTTACATTACGATTCATAACAGTAGCAACATTACAGTTATGAAGTAGCAACGAAAATAATTTTATGGTTGGGTCACAACATGAGGAACTGTATTTAAAGGGCCAGAAGGGGGAG